ATGAGACCTTTTCGGAAGTGGTTACTGGAGAATTGTTATCAAACCTTCCTCTACGCTGTGACAAATGGCAGATGGCTCACGAGTACTTAACGGAAAGATTTCATTAAAGTACATGTAGTTCTTATGATACGTGTTTTTTATTTTTTATTTTTTTTGTCATTCACAAAGTACAGTGTTTGTCGCATGTTGATTCATAATATGTTTTCATCCGATTTTAGATTTTACAGAAGTGGTTAAAGTGGTAAAAGGCACACGGAGTGAACTTCAGCGACGACATTGTGAAGATTGAGTTACTCAAACTAGTGAAACTAAACAGACCTGCATCAACCTATGTCATCGAAAACATTATTAGGCGACTGGTCAAGAGATCCTTCACCTTCACCGAACCACCCGGATTTCAATCCAATTGAATTGATTTTGTCCCAGCTGAAGTCTATCGTCCGTGTAAGAAATATGACATTCAGGTGCGTAAACCATAGAATAAACTATATTAATAAAATAATTAGAAATAGAATGTAATGTTTCCTGTCTTGAAATATGGACACATATAAGATTTAAAAGGTATCTGAAAACCAGATGTATTAAAAATATTTCAAAGTACTTGCAAATACACAAAAAAACGGGAAAAAATGCATATTCATAACGGGGTGTTGGTTAGGAATCGAACAAGAGACCTTCAGATTGGCATCTATACCAATACACCACATCTCACTGAAGTGTGAAGCTAACAAACATACCGGTATGTTTGATACCAGTGTCTATCCAATGACCTTACCGGAAGTTAATGAAGTGCCAGGTCATTATTGTTGGACAATACAGTACTTAAGCGTTCTTATTTTTTTTCTTTTTTTATTTAATGTTATCATAATTGACAAAACCAACATAATGTGTTTGCGACCAGCATGGATCCAGACCAGCCTGCGCTTCCGCGCAGTCTGATCAGGAACCATGCTTTTCGCTTTCAGTTTCTCTACTTGTTATACGGTTTGTAAGCGAACAGCATGGATCCTGATCAGACTGCGCGGATGCGCAGGCTGGTCTGGATCCATGCTGGTCGCAAACCCATTATGTTGGTTTTGTCGTGACGCGGCTCATTTATTGAAAACATACTTCAGTTCACAAATACATCTAGCTGTTTAACAAATAATATATCTTTTTTAATATTGGAATCGTGTTAATCATGATAGAAATGTAAAACAAATCACGGGCTTTGCTTGTTCTACAAACCCCCGTTATTAAAAGAAGAATTAATTCAATTAAAATTATGCAGTTTTGTCTTGAATACACGTTGAAAGAATATATTTCTTTCCTGACTATTAAAATCATGTTATAAAATGATGGAACTAAAGAAAATAATAACTGGCTTTGCTTTACTTTACTTGACTTTAAGCTACTCAAACAGGGCTACCGCTATTATGAATTACATAACATTTTACATTTTATCATTTTACAATCGTAACTTTGATTTAATTTCAAAATTCAATAGTGATCTAAAAACACTTCTGCGACTAGGGATTAGCCAGTCTGATTTTTACGGGAATGTTGTTTACAAACTTCGTAAGATCTTGGGTCATTGTAATTTTTCTGTTGTCTTTATTAAAATTATCAAACGTTTTATTCAAAGGGGTTATGACCACATACCGCATGCTTAGTGTTCAACACATTTACAGTTGGACGCTACGCTTTCCTCTTTTGATTACATCTGACGGACCAAGTGGGAGACTATGATGGACAGTTCTTTAAGCCCTTTGGGACTGAATTGCCTTAATGTTCGTCTTCTGTCTTGCTTCGTCGGGCCCTTGTAGGTGATTATCTTGTTGCTCTGTCTTGGGGTCCTCCTTGGCTCCTTGCCACTGGCTCTTGTTACTGGGTCGGGTTGGGGTTGCGTTCATTGAACGCCGCCTTCCCTTGTTGATCGTGTTTATCATATTTTACTTGACTTTGCAGAGTTTAGTAGGGACGGTAAATTTTGACCATACATCGGTAGACGCAAAACAATGCGATACGATAGCATTCAAAATGTCGGTGGGTATTGTCGAGTGTCGCTTTGCATTGTCGGGTGTTGCCTTGCATTGTCGAGCGTCGCTTCACATTGTCGAGTGTCGCGTTGTAAAATTAAAAAAAAAACCTTTTCATTAAACACGATAATTCCACACTTATTAGCATTATAACTGTACCTCCACTGCCGTGAATAAGTATTGCAAATGTAAAAATATTTATCCATGTCTTGCCTTCGAAAAGGAGATAAGGGCCATAACGTTAGCAACAGCAGGGGAGCAATTATTCATATTTTAGACACAAATCGATATTTTGGCCGTCTTAAATAAACTTTGACCGTTATAAAATAATTCATGAATACAAGATAGAGGCGGTGATCATGAGCTCTTGTCTTGTCGCTTGCATAACAGGGAAACTGTTTGATGTTAAACCCTGGCATTTAACATAGCGTGTTGCGATTTTGTACATTTCTCGAAAAGCAATAATAGTGGTATGATCAATGTCAGATTCCATTAATTTATGGATTAATCCATTATGCCAAACATTGTAAAAGAGTTGTCGTCCATCAAGAAAGCATACATAGAGTTTAGATGAATTTTTACGTGCGCTCTCGAAGAACATATGACGTCATCAAACATCCTAGATGTTCATGGACAACCCCCCCCCACCTCTTGTTGATAACTCAATGACTGAAGTTAAACATCTTAATACTTTGATAATAATAATATCAGTTCAAACACTAAGAATAACTTATGATAAAGTTATTGCCCGATAGTTGTTTGAATTGTCTCTACGTTATGATCCACCTTTGTGTAATGTTATGGTTACACCACGCTTCATGCTATCAGGTATATAACCTGGAGAAATGCATGAAAGTCAACCTATTTGCTAGTATTCTGGATAATGTACATGTATATATACTTAGAAAAAAGCAAATATTCATAGACAGTACAATCTTTACCACTAGCTTTATTCAGTGGCAATGATTCAATACAGTCACAAACCTCTTCACATTCATATCTGTAGATACATTCAGTTTTTGTTCAGCCACATTAGTCACATTTTGTTTGAAACTTTCGCCATATTCGGGCGAATCGTTTTGTTGTTGTTGTTTTTTTTTGTTATTGTTTTTTTGTGAAGAAAGAGTGCTAAAATGTCTTCAAAAGTGTCTCTTTACATACGTGAAGTAGACAGTTTGCTAGGACAAACAATAATTTATCCTCGGCTTCGCCTCGGACAACTTTTTTTATCCTAGCAAACTGTTTTCTTACGCTTATAAGAAGACACTTTCGAAGAAAAAACTAGTACTGTATCCATTACATATGCCTGTCCCCATCTATTTACCAACATTCCAATAGGAACCCAAATGAGTCATGTTATTACATGTTTGTAATCTGATATTAATAAAAGTATTGGCTGCTGTTGTTGTTAAATTTTTTATCTAGGGTACATATTAGTAAAAGTTGTTGTGTCCCGTATGTTGCCCAAATGGTGTCCGTTTCGTTCCGTTCCGCAAAGTATAAATAGTCCAAAAAACTGCACTATAAAATAAGAACATCGTTAGTACGTTAACAAAAATCAACTGTTTATTTCAGAACATCTATCACATTTCAGAAGATAATATATATATATATCAGTTATATAAAAAACAAATATTCTAACAAAACCAGCTTTGTTTGCTAGTAAAATGATGTGAATAATTTCACTGATTATAACTTTTAGTAACAATTTCAAACATCAGAATATAAACGTTAAACACTTCATAATAACAATTCTGTTGTACATCATAAGTCTATGGAGTTCTTCTTGATTAAGTGTGAAAGTTTACATGATTGTTTGAATGATTATATATTGTTCTAAAACACATCATATGCTATAATAATATAGCAGCTAGATAATATAGCAGATAATATAGCAGATAATATAGTAGATAATATAGCAGCTAGATAATATAGCAGATAATATAGCAGATAATATAGTAGATAATATAGCAGATAATATAGCAGATAATATCGTATCATGCATCTCACACATACCAACAACATCCAGACATAATTATTTCGTAGTTTGCTGTTACTTATGTTGCTATACATTGTCAACATTATCATTTTCATAGTTTTACATACCTTCCATCAAAGACCAGTTCACTTTAATAGAAATTGTCTCAAATATTATATAAGTACAAAGAATATCTACATAAAACATCTCATCCGATTTACAATGTTTAAATGATAGTCTAGCTCATACAAAATATAATTATACAATGTATCCATGCTGACAAACACTACCTGTAAGTAACATACACGTTAAGCTATAATGAAGCCCGTGCTAGAATAGCAGGAGCAGATGACATTATTATAAGTATTTCGCATGATAGACTTTCTTTTTTAAATTTAGTGAAATGTTTTCACTTTTCGAAAAAAGGCGAAATGATTTAAAGAATATACAAACCAAATAATTAAAACATTAAGAAGAAATGAATGGCAAGGTCAAGATCGGCAGAAATAGGACCGAACACGCAAAGGACGGCACAAATAAGGACGGCACAGACACGAGGACGGCAAATATCTACAGAAAGATGATATTTGTATTTGTGAACAAAATATGTTTGTTGTATTGCCACATCATAGATATCCTGTTTATGAAATATTTGGAAATAGGTCTCGATAAATAACGCTAATGTTATATGTTTTACAAAACAAAAGGACTATGTATATCTCAACTAGCAAGTCGTAAAAGACGTTTGTTGAGATAAGTAATAATATATCTAGACACCACGTTCCACTTGATTACATTATTAGATATATTAGATATATGATGTATGTCAAAAATCTGATTTATGGTGTTAAAAACGCATTAAGGCAGAATGGCAGATGAAGAAAAGATTATACATGTAATAACCATAAACATGTCATGAAAATAAGTATTTACAAACTTTTATCCATGTTGTAGTGTACAGTTAAAAGTTTAAAATATTGACCCTCTCGTTGAAGCGAAATTTCTTTTTTTTTTTTCAAAATGTAAACTTTAAAAAAGGGCAAAATGTACATAATTATTAATATAAGATACTAAAAATAGTTATCTCGCTTTTGGTTCAACTCAAATATAAAATGATATGTAATAATATTTAGAGTACTTGAAACAATCATATCATAGTCTTTGACTTGATAAGACGAAAGGCACGGGTGACAAATATCCACATTCCGAAGGCAAAAACACAAACAACCACCCCTACCCATGCTAATGGCATTGCCCAGCCAATATCCACATTACGTGCCTCACAGGCAGCTGGGGGCAGTTCATTCTCCTCGAAAGAGTAGCACTGGTACTTCTCATAGTACATTTTTGTGTGAAAAATTGTGAGGCCAAAAACCGAAAACAGCCCTGAAAATGAATACAAATTGATGTTTATTGAGAAATTCATGTTTATTTATTCATACTTTTACTTTTATGATCGACTGTTAATCGGTATTTACAATTTTCTTTATATTCGCCACTTATTTGTTTAATATAACCGCTAGCATTTGAAGCTGAGACTTTAAAATGCTAAAAACATATGAACTATCTCTCTTCTCACGTAACCAAAGATATAAAGGAATGAAATGAATGTGTTTTATCTAATAATAGAATTGTTGTAAGAAAAAGATTCAAATGGATGACATTGTTCGTTAGTTACAGTAGATTTATCATAACTTACCAGCCATACAGTAAAGAACGCCTGTCACCATACATGCTGAAACCTGTTTCTGTATAATAGCGAACGTGCCTACTATTGCCGCCGCCGCCAAATCAATTAAACTCACAATAAAACAAGACGCCGCCGAGTTCTGCATTCCTGCAATGTATGTAGAATATTGTTTTTAACTTCTTATATCATTTATACATATAATGATTTGATACCTGCATGAATTTAACTTGTTTAAAGAAATATATAATTATGTTATATATTATGTGATCTGTTTTCTTACTTAGAATTTATTTTTTCCATTTTATAACATATGTAGGCTGATTAGGGACAGCAGGGGTGAGCTTAGCCTGTATTTCAAATACAAATTTCCTGCAAACACCTTAACAGGTTCAAAAGTGTAGGCTAAGATTCTTCAAATCACTGTTGTTTATGTGTTTCACATTTGTTAGGACCTGAATATCTTCTAGACACACGGATTGACAGACGTTTTTGCCAGACGTACTGTAAAGGAACATAAGTTTGATCTTCCGTTTATCTTTTGACCCCCGGCCCCGCATTTTTCAATCCCGAAATATAATTTATAATTCCACGGTTTGTAAAGAGTGATCGTTATGATGCCAAGCTGTACACTAACCATAACCATATAATCATGATGATGTCTATCAGGCACGCGCAGACAGAGACAAACAGATGTATAAACATAC